TCTTCTATGAATTTAGATGTACCGTCTATGCTTTTGCAAATCTCTTCAACCATCTTTTCTAATGGCACACTCTTTTCATTGAGCACATTAATTATTCTGGTACCCACCATTTCAACTGCTTCCACTGAATCAATACCCTTCACTGCGTTGAAGCTCAACGAATTGAAGAATTCATACTTACTCTTCTCATGAGATTGGAGTTCATTTCTCAATAAAACATTCTCTTGCTTCAAAGTATTAACTCTGTCAACATGGATTTGCAAATTCTGGCCTTTTAAGCATAACTCCTCTGTAATGACAGATTGAGAAAGTCGGAGTTCAGTCAACTCTGCATTTACCATGTCCAGATGAGCCTGCAAACTGCCAGTGCAAGTCTCTAAGGAAGAAATTTTCTCTTGCAACCTCCGGTTTTCCATATCAAATACATCTATATGACTTAAAGATGATTCGCATTCAGATTTTTTCTCCTCCAAATCTTGAAAAACTCTAAAATAGTCTTCCTTCAATTTCTTTACCTCGCTTTTTATTGACTCATTCTCCTCCTCAAGGTAGTTCATTTTGCTTAGCTCCGCATCTTTCATCTCCAACTCAGCTTGAAGTTTGCATGACGATGCTTCCAGCAAGCATTTGTCATTATGCAACATTTGCTTTTGGAGATCAAGGTCAGAGATATGGCTAGAAGAAATTTCTAGAGCCCTTTCCTTTGTCTTAATCTCTTCTATTAACTTTTCACAGTCAGCTTCAAGTTTTTTAACCTGGGATGACAGTCTCATCTTTTCCTCTATCACTTCACCAAGTTCACTTTGCAAGTGATCATTTGAACATGAAACATCCTTCAACAACTGAATATCTTGTTCAAGAGTCTTGTTAACTTTATCCATATGTGTAATTCTTGAATTGCTTTCATTGAGCTTTGACAACAACTCCTGCCTCTCCCTTTGTGCTTCTTGAACTTCTTTTTGTAGAATAACAACCTCAACTTCCTCATCCATCATGATCCATCTTTCTATCTCTGCGTCCATGGTGAGAAAAATAATCTCTTTCTTAAAGTTCTCAAGGACCATACAACAACTGGTTTGCTCCTCTTCCATACTAGCTTTTTGGACTTCCACTTGGTTTAACTCTGACGCCAAGATAAGCAATTCAAAATCCTTTGCAGACAGGTCAATCATGAAATTCTCCTCCTGAGATTTCAAGACTTCCTCTTTATCCTTCAGCAATTTTTCTTGATTTAAAATGGGTCCCAAAACATTTCTGTTACTCATGTCCAACTCCTTAGTCAGAACAGAAAGCTCAGATCCCATATTGTTAGCCCTTTGCAACATTAGCTCCTCTTGAAGCTGTAAATTCAATATTTTCTTCTCAAAAGTGGTTAGCTTGATACTAAGCTCCCCAGTTTCATCTTCTTTCCTTGCAATGCGATCGAAACTATTCTTAATATCTGCCAGTAATTTCCCCTTGAGGATTCTACACATTTCAAGCTCATTTCTCGATTTGAAATTGTGCTCTCTCAACTCAGATATAACAGAGGCTGATTCACAGAGCCCGTGATGAAGCAAACCATTTTCTGCATTCAACCCTGTAACTGTTTCCAACAGGATTCCCATGTGACAAAGGTGTAGCACAGACACAGCACAATCCTTTACAATTATCTCAGACCAAATGTCCTCAAGCCATGAACGCATTAACATTGTTGAGTCTTGAAGTTGAGACTTCATGCAGATGAAATCAGAGGCTATAGACAAAGAGTCTTCCTTGAAAGTTGTCTGGACCTGTCCGACTATACTCTCCAGTTCTAGAACCAGCCTCCTCATTTCCATCATATCTGAAGCAAACTGATCTTCAAGGTTTTTGTAATGCGAATCCTGCAGATCCTTGGCGGATTGCAAACTTTGAACCTCATTGATTAGTATATTTTTCTCGTTGATTATGGAGTCCTCCATTTTCTTCAGCCCTTCAATCTCAAGCTTCAGGGTTTCATTACTTATCACCAACTCATTTATCATGATATCTGCTTCTTTCATGGTATCTTGGGCCTCTTCAAATTGAGAAAGAATACAAGAAGCCTCTGCAGTTTTCTGGGCTGCAACTACCTTTGCATCACCAAGTTCGAGCTCAAACAACTGTAGCAAATGAAATGGAAAAGACATGAGAGCAGTTACATTTTCTAGGTACTAAGGTTGTACACTACTTGTTACTTATCAAAAAAAAATAAAAAAAATAAAAAAATAAAGGTTGTACACTACTTGTCAAAATTCAATATATATTTGAATATACACACTATGTCCAATATATTTATATTTAAACACGTGCAGTGGTTATGGCCTTTTATATCATAATTTATTATCATCCATTTAGATTGATTTTAATTAAATTAAAGTGAAAACCTACTAGTGGCAGATATAGCATTGTGGAATGAGATATTGTGATCAGAATAAGATCCAACCCATAGCAGTGCATGTATTTTTGTAAAAGAATAAATTAGCACATTGGCTTACCTCTTCTTTCTGGCACCAGCAAGTGCCAGCTTCTTGCACAGTTTCTCCTACTTTCTGGAGCTTATGATCTATAGCCACCATCTTGGGTACAAGTTGTTTTTCGAAGCTACTCATATCTGTTTGTAAGGTGAGTATTTGAGTCATAAGATACTCAATGCTCCCCTGGCTTTGTTTTGCAGACATCCAGACCTCTTCTTTCTCATTGCGTAGTTTTGCCATCTCAGATTGCACCCCTTGTAAACATTCTACAGCAGATTCTATTTCTTTTCTTAGAAGAATAATGGTAGCATCTCTATCATTCTTGTCCTTGTTAGTTCCTGAAATTGCAAAGTTTTTATGATCCAATGAATATTCACTCACATTCTTGCGTACTTCAAAAGTACACTCTGAAATCTCAGTTTTCAAGTCCTCAACAGTTTGTGAGTCTATCTTGTTGGAGCCTTGATTCATTTCAGCACCTGTCTGCAACAGTTTCCAAATAGATTGAATTAATAAAAGTAAAACACTCCAAAAAGCTAGAGAGTATCCAAATAGGTTGAATTTATAAATGTAAAACAATCCAAAAAACTATAGTACAACATAAAAGGTGAATTAACGACAAAGTCGCTATTTATAAAAAAATCAACACATCAGCTTACCCTTGCTCCACATTTGCCATTAGCTGGCAAACAAGCAAGATTTACAGAGGTATTATCATTTTCAGAACTTCCAACCTGCTCCACATACTCATCCATGCATGACCTGAGTGTTGAAACACCAGATTTCAGCTCAGTAAGTTTCTCTCTCGTCTTTAAAATGTCATTTTCTTCAATTTCTTGAAGCTTCTGTTCCATAGCACAAGCACGTTTCTGCTCCTCAAGAAGCTGCAGTTTCAGTTTACCAAGGCTCTCCTCTGACACTTCCAGCTCCGTTTTGAGAGACTGAATCTGTGTCTCCGCTTCATCAATTACAGTAGCCTGATTATGGAGAAAAGCATCCTTCTGCAGGTTCATTCCTATTGATTCTCTAAGCTGGATATCCTTATGCTTTAATGCATCATGATAATCAGAATTTATCTCGGACATTCTATTCACAATCAAAAAAGCAACTGTTGCACAAGTTGATGCTTTTCTAATTTCTTCTTCCTCCTCCTTAATCTTGTCTTCCAGCTCGGCTACAAGAGAAGCTTTTGCTTTCAATTGTGATGTCAACTGGAGGATTTCTTGCTCCTTTTCACTGCACTCTTGCTGGTGTGCTTCCGTTATAACTAAAGCTGCCCCTCTCAAAGACCTCAGCATGCACTCCATGTTGCTTCTTCTATTGTTTGCATCGTCTAAGCACTGATTGAGTTCTTCAATTAGTAGCTCCTTCTCAGAGATGATTTTTGTCACTCTGCCCACTTTTTCAGAAATACAAGCTCTTTTCTGAGGAAAGGAACCGGAAATAACATCAAGCTGATTAGACGCATCTTTAAGCGCCTCACTCCCACCAGTAAGAACATATTCAATCTCACAGGTCAATTGTTCCCACTCTTCAGACAATGCTTTTAATTCGTCATCCTTCTCTTCCAGCTTTTCACCTAACTCTTTCTTATCTTGAGCCATGAGAGAGAATTTTTCCTGAAGCTCCTTCAACTCAGTTTGAAAAAGCACCAGCCTCTCTTGTGTTTCTCTCTCTTTCAATTTACTATCCTGAACTTGCTGCTGAAGAGTAGCAAGTTCTTCCTGAAGCTCTTCGCCTAACTCTTTCTTATCTAGAGCCATGAGATATAATTTTTCCTGAAGCTCCTCCTTCAAGTCAGTTTGCAAAAGCTCTTTCAATTTTAATTCGTCATCCTTTTCTTCCAGCCTTTCACCCAACTCTTTCTTATCTTGAGCCATGAGATATAATTTTTCATGAAGCTCCTTCAACTCATTTTGCAAAAGCACCAGCCTTTCTTGTGTTTCTCTCTCTTTCAATTTACTATCCTGAACTTGCTGTTGAAGGGCAGCCAGTTCTTCCTGCAAGCAGACTATCACCTCAGCAGTCTCAGCCTCAACCTGCTTACGAACTTCATCCATTTCTTCTTCATTAGATGTCTGAAATGTACGATCACTTTGGTACCACATATTCAGTCTCTTGGCCTTTTCAAGAGAACCTTGCATCTTCTTCAACTTTGCTTGTAAAGGGGAATCTTCATTTTCTGAATGTTTGAAAGATGGGAGATCTTTTAACTCTTGGAAGCACATTTGCTCTTTCATTGCAGAAATTTCAAGCTCCTGCTTACTCAAAAGCTCCACATAGTGGCTGTTACTGTTCCTGAGATCCTCTGTCTCATTAATTGACAGAACTTGCTGGGATTCAAGAGCTTCAATAACTGATTTTGCTTCCTTGAGTTCCTCCTTCACATCTTCACATTGTTTGGTCAACAATAAGACCTTCTCTTTCGTCAGCTCAAGATCCCTATCCAGGTACCGTGTCCTCATCTGCTCTGCATCGCCACGAGATGACCTCTCTTCTTTAAGAATAATCTTTAGAATATCCAACTCCAGTTGTAAATTTATGACTTCTTCTGAGTGTTTCATCAGCGTTTCATGCTTTGCCTCTCCCTTCTGTTTTTCGACCGCCACAAGTGATCGATTGTCAAACAATGGAGCTTCGATAATGGACTCCTGAAAGTCATTGTTATTATCATTAATAAGAGAAGTTGAATGCATTCATGGAGTTAAAAAAAAAAGGGGGAAAAAAGAAGAAGGATGTTACTGGCCATATTTGATATGATTATTAAAAAATAGACTTCCAGAATGGACACCTAAACGTCATTGATATTATCAGCCACTATGGAAAGAATGCATTCATGACGTAAATCAAATGGGGAAAAAAAAGAAGCATGAATGTGAATAATGTGTAATAAATGAAAAAGTGAGTTAATGACTGTGTGTGTGCATGAATGAAGATGAATATGAATGGTGGTGTGTAAAGAAGAAAATCAAATGGAAAAAAAAAAAAAAAAAAAAAAAGAAGCATGAATGTGAATAACGTGTAATAAATGAAAAAGTGAGCTAATGACTCTGTGTGTGCATGAATGAAGATGAATATGAATGGTGGTGTGTGAAGTGAAAGAACCGAAAAGAGTGAAGAAACAGAGAAAAGAGAAAGAAAAAGTGAGAAATTATTGAGGACCAAGAGTGAGTGTATTCCTTAAGAAGAGAGTGTGTCTTCTTCTAGTGACTGTGTGGGGAATGTCTCTTGATAATCCATTCAGAGTTGTAATCTTCTAATAAAAGTAGCGTCTGTGATTTCCATCATATTTTTTATTTTTCCTTTGTTTCCATTGCATATTAGTTGTGTGAAATTGGGTGGATTAATTCCTAACAAGTGGTATCAGAGCTGATACGAAAGGGATTAATTCCAAACATATATTACTCTCATAATAAGGGAAATTTTTTTATTATTATTTTAAATTGCATACATAATGATATTAATCTGCCTCTTTCTATAAGAATTAGCAATACAATTTCAAAGTAATAATACAACTAAGTGAAATTACCTTTATGACTTCAACACTGCTATCATCATCACAGGTTTCAGTTTTGAGGTTGATTAGTGAAGCACGTAGATCATCAATTTCTCTGCAGAAAATGGAGAGACAAAATAGCACAATGTAAATGCAAGAGTAAATGCTAGTATAGTATTCTATGTATATAAATCCAAAAAAACTTGAGACTGCTTGATCAAATAAAAAAGTCAGAGGACCAGATTCCATTACCTACTAAGTTTTTCATTATTCTCCAAGCAAGAGTTTAGGTTACTCCTGCACTCTTCCAATTCTTTCAGAGTGCTTTTGAACTGAAACCATAAATAGTGAGTTTGAGTGAGACATGCAGCTTACACAAAAAAGAAGTTATATAATTTATTGGAACATGAGTAGTAAGCAACCTCCAAGTTGAGCATTTCATTTTCTTTATTGAAATGTATAGCTTCCTGTGCCAATGGAGAATAAATTGTACAAATTCAAGAAAAGGTAACGTAATAAATCCAATTTTCTAACTTGGTACGAAAAAGAAAATTCAAATATATTTAAGGTTAACCTGAGGGGTGGCACTGATTTTTGGATGATTATTCTGGTTTGATTTCCCATCAAGAAGAAGAGCTAGCTGTAAACATAGGGATTGGGTTTATGCGCTCATACTAGAGAATGCAAAGGAAAAAAAATATAGGATTCATTCCAGATGCTAGAAGGACCTGATCCCGCAGTTCAGATACTTCGGTTAACAACAGTTCTCTCTCCCCTTCTTCATAGAAGTCTTGATATCTATAAATGCCAACAAAAAATAAAAGATAAAAAAGAATAAAAATGGTAAAGCGATGCCAGATTTTTGTTTTCTTTCTTATTTACTTTTCAACAGAAAGCTACCTTCTGATCTGTTCTAAAAGCCTGATATTCTCTAGAGCAAAGCGAGTTACTTCTGGGTTTCTATCAAGTTTAGCTCGAAGCAGCTGAATCTCTTCAGAGAGTGCACCATTCTCTTCCAATAAATAAGCATCTGCGGGTATTAAACCACTAACAAGTGATTCCATTCGTTGAATTTTGTCTTCCCTAAACTTCAGCATCATCTTTGTGCACCTAGTATCCTCCTCTCTTTGACGAACCTGATAAGCAATATCTGTTAGGGATCTAAGTTATGGCTTCAAGGCAAATACATCCTTTGCTTTCTTTCACAACCTGACCAGCAGCCAACAAACAACCCCAAAAATAAAACAAAATAAAATAAGAAAAAGTTACCAATCGGTTCAACTGTTCAAGTTCAGCTTCAAGTTGCTTAATTGAGGTCTCTGCCATCTGTTCCCTTCTCAAGGCACCAGCAAGTGTTGTCTCCAATGATTTCAACTGATAATAAACAAGAAAAAGGAATCCAATACATTTTTTTAAAATCATATTTCACAAGTACTAATATGGAGGAAATGAAGTTTGAGTCCAAATTCATGATGTTGTGACAGAAACACATGCTAGTAATTTAAAAAAAATAAAAAAAATTTATCAGCTTTTATGTAGATCGTGGGTAGTAAAATACCATGTAATCTAAATATGACACTTGTATTCCGGGCATACATATGGGATATGTATTATGCACGTTTTGGGGGTAACAAAACAGTCATCTTGACATTTAAATCCTAAAACAAAAATCCAAAAAAAAAAAGGGCATATATATTCAAAGTTCCAATTGACGGGTGTTTGATGCAACTAACACCTGTTTGATCCAGGCATTCGCATAGCATCACAATCTACATTGTGACAATGGTACTGTTTCTGAATATCAAATTATGTTAAACATAAAGTACTGCCCGTATTACATTTCCTGTATTCTTATTTCTTTTATATGATCGTGGATGGGTGGAAGTGTTACCTTCATAAATTATTTTAATGAAATCTCAAATGGGACTTAGGTTTGCTATAATATAATAGTAGAAATATAATATAGAAGAAAAATGAGAGAATTATGTAAAGGTTTGAATGAGATAAATCACTCATTTATAGCTCTAGTATTTATAGATAAAAAAAGAGCACATGCTTACATTACAAGAAAGTAAATTAAATCAAATCACAACACATTCTATTGCATATTCTATGCCATGATTCGTAGCTATCAAATCTTTGATAATATGGTAAGTCGTTCCATAAATCGTGGCTATCATATCTGCTAACACTCCCCCTCAAGTTGGTGCGAGGATTTCTGAAACACCCAACCTGAACAATGCATCTTCAAACACAGCCTTGCTAGCACCCTTCTTCAAAATCTACAAGTTGCAGAGTGTAAATCTGACTAGCAATGATTTCCTCTTGGGTGAAGTGCCGATCAACAAATCAAAAAATGTCTCCTCAGACCATAAACAATTAACAATGTCTCCTCAAACCATAAACAACCAATCATGTCTCCTCAAATCGTAAACAACAAACAATGTCTCCTCAGACCATTTCCCTTCAACACATGTTTAAAACATGTAGATGGAAGAATCAACAATGTCTCCTCAGACCACCCCCTTCATACATATGTTTAAACAATGTAGATAAAAGAATCAAAACTGTCTCCTCAGACCATAAAAAGAAACAACTATGTCTCCTCAGACCATTTCTGAATAGGTGGTAATATGGTAAGTCATTCCATAAATCGTGACTATCATATTTGCTAACACTCCCCCTCACGTTTGTGCGTGGATATCTGAGACACCCAACTTGGACAATGCATCTTCAAACACAGTCTTGCTAGCACCCTTCTCCAGAATTTACAAGTTGCAAAGTGTAAATCTGACTAGCAATGATTTCCTCTTAGATGAAGTGCCGATCAACAAAACAAAAAATGTCTCCTCAAAGGCTCAAACCATAAACAATTAACAATGTCTCCTCAGACCATAAACAACCAATCATGTCTCCTCAGCGTAAACAATGAACAATGTCTCCTCAGACCATTTCCCTTCAACACATGTTTAAAACATGTAGATGGAAGAATCAACAATGTCTCCTCAGACCACCCCCCTTCATACATATGTTTAAACAATGTAGATAAAAGAATCAAAACTGTCTCCTCAGACCTTAAAAAGAAACAACTATGTCTCCTCAGACCATTTCTGAATAGGTGGTGCTAAACTCGCAAAGCCCTCATTGAGATCGGACCACCCTGCCTACCCAACACCTCCCGGATGGGCGATGTCACCTTAGACCATTCCCAAATGGGTGGTGTTGAACTCGCAATGCCCTCATTGCAGTCAGACCACCCTGGCTCTGATACCAGGTAGAAATATAATATAGAAGAAAAATGAGAGAATTATGTAAAGGTTTGAATGAGATAAATCACTCATTCGTAGCTCTAGTATTTATAGAAGAAAAAAAAAAGAGCATATGCTCATATTACAAGAAAGCAAATTAAATCAAATCTAAATCAAATCACAACACATTCTCTGGCATATTCTATGCCATGATTCGTGGCTATCAAATCTTTGTTAATATGGTAAGTCATTCCATAAATCGTGGCTATCATATCTGGTAACAATAATAGTTTGGAAAATGTACTTATTTCTCAAAAGATCACCAAACATGTTTGTAGGTTTGCAAACATGAAGATTGACATAATGATAGTTTCATAATTCACAACTATAAAATGCTTCTACTCTATCTAAATTCTAAAGATCAAATCATGTGGAATTTACATCAGCATATTGCAACTTAGATACCTGTTTTAAAGACACTTTCAGAATGCCTTTAGATTCAGATCCAAGCAAATTATCAGTTCTCTGCTCATCCAATTCAAGTGCCTTTTGGCTGGAGGGATTTTCACCAAATGATAGAGATCTGGAGACATTTTGGCGTTTGAGGGCAGACAGCTCCTCCTATTCCAAAAACAACTCATTAATTTCAAATAAAAACTAATTTTTACCTGACATTTTTCCTACTAAAACATCGAAAAATTTAATGCCACCGTTAAAACTTGTATCTGGTGTTGTAATGCTATGACATCTCCTGAAGAATCTTCATTCACCACAGCCTTCATCATGAACAAAAAGAACATATATGGTCAGAACTAAGAAACAATTGCTTTCTTCATGAAAGCTGACCATATTGTACTGAGCATAGAAACAAGCTTACATTGTTCTGAATAAGTTTTGCTCGCTGAGCAAACTTTAAAGTATTCAGTGTTTCAGCAGCACACCTGGAAAAAGAAAAATTAGGGGAAAAAAAGGTATAAGAGAATTTAGCACCTAACTATTCAAGTTGAACTGATAATAAACATGAAAAAGCACATGCACCAACCATATAGAAGGGCTGACATTGGCAATCATCATTGTTTTCGAGTTTCCACCTAGTGAGTCCTGCATATCATATTGCTTAAATATAAATCATGAAAAATAACATATAAGCCTGATGACGACAAATAAATGGATCTAGAATTCACCTGAAGAAGAAATGTCAGCCTTGAATCTCTATAAGGAACATGCTTTGTCCTCCCATGTGCCACATCCAAAAGAACCATTATTACATGACTGCAAATTGAAATGTTTACCCAAAGTGCTCACAACGGATAAAAAGGATGTCAAGAACAGCAAAAAGAAAATGCTATCAGAGAAATCTGGTAATGATTATAGTACCCTAATGTAGATAACGATTTGTTAATATTAGCAGCTTCCTTTAAACGTTCACCCTCAGCGCCAGAAGTTTTCTGCCTGCCACGTGACGATAAAATTATTGCGTGTAGCACAAAGCAAAATTTTCTTTTCTTTCTCCAAGTACAAATTAGCTCAAATTAATTGGACATGATGCATTACCTTTCAGAGCCAGCAAGATCAACAAGGTTTAGTCTTGCAAATCGTAGATTAGACGTGGAATCCTTTTCCCACCTTCTCTCAATTACACATGTGAAGACACTATGCGAACGACTGCTCTCTCTATTCATATTTGTTGCGGCAACTTTTCTATTTGAAGAACCCTATTGCAACAAACCAGTTTTCATAAAGAACAAAGACACGCAATGACACACATTCAAGTGGAAGCACACACACACATAGACAGAGAGAGAAGCAATGCCAGACTGAAAACAGTAAGGATCAAAGGTTAATAACCTGACTCAGAAGCTTAAGAATATCACCAACAGTCTGGACTTCAAATTCTGACAGATTTTCAACATACACACCCGTCTTAATGTCCTCCCGCAGCTACAAAGGCAATGAACAAACATAAGAGAGCAAAATATTTATATTACACACTCATATGCTTATGAAACAACACAACTTACTAGCAAATTTGTAGAAGAAGGATCAAGGAGATCAGTAATTTGTTCATTATAAATCTCTAAGAAAGAGCACTTGCAGTTGTATTTCAATCTCTCATCCCTTCGGCTTTCCTCTTCCTGCAAGCAGAAGAATACAAGGGAACCTTATCGGTGCTATAACTAAGATGTTTTCGAACAAATCAGAAATTGAGGTAGCAAGTTTGAGCGAAGAGTGTTGAAGTTACAGCTCTTATTCTTGCAAACAAGAACTCAAATATGCGTGGTGTCATTCCACGATTTGGACTGGGCTTGACTTCTAACTCTTCAATCTCACCAAGCATTGTATATGTCTTCCCACTTCCTGTCTAGATGGTTAAATGAATTCATTTAAAACAAGAAGGCACTTAATTGTGTTGAAATTGCAAAGGAAAATGAAAAAGAAACAAGAACCTCAACATAAGTACAAAATTTAGATGGTTTAAGTTGATTTAATTTATACAATTCTAAAAGACTCTGTTTTTGCTAGTGAGCATATATTTTGCATTACATCATAAGAAAATGTGGTGCATTCTTTAGTGTTTTGATTAATATTATTAATTTATTTTCGATGTAATGCACTCACGTAACCATATCCATCATTTAATGAGACGAAATTGTTATGAACTTATGACTATTCTGTTAAGGGAGGATAACAACAGATATCTTCGTGGCTACAGGCGGATATCCCAGCCATCCTAAATTTCATCATATTGATGAGATTTAGTCTGTGTCTAGTATGTAAAAAGATTAGGTATTTACCATTGGTAGTCAATGTCCATATAGATGTAGATAAATAATGATTCAAGATCACTATTCTGGGTGTTCTGTGACATACAACATATCCATTACCCCAAGTATACATTATTCATTTTCTTCTATTTTTTTTTGGTCACCGATGGTGGTGACAAACCTCTTAGAGCACCCCATAGTCCACCACTGGCACATGCAATCCTCCCGTTTTACATGACCAGGCAATTGTCGAGAAATTCCCTGGGAGTGGCCCCAAGTATACAATATTCAACCCATCCAAATGGGTCAGAAAGTTGACAACATCAATATTTATCCTATTTAAAATAAAATGTTGGTAATAGATTTTATTGTTGAAAGATTAAGTATAATTGATAACATCAATATTTATCCTATTTAAAATCAAATGTTGGGAATAGACTTAATTGTTGAAGGATTAAATATGAATTATATGTTAAGTCCTCATTTTTCCATGATTAAAAAGCAACTCAATTTCCGAGAAATACCTGCCCATAGGCAAACACACAGCTATTGTATCCAGAAAGGCAATTCTCCACCATAGGCAGACCAACCATCCTGAAAAGCGTTTCCTGCAATATCCCATCCAGTTATTCAAACATGTAATTAGCCAAAGAAGAAAAAAAAAAAAAATGAATCAATTGTATATTTAAAAGTTTATTTGGTTCTAATGAGACCTGGTCTATGGTTTCACATGCTACATGGTCAAATGTAAATCGAGTTTCTGGTTGCCCGATCCAAGTGATGCATTGTGCACTCTCCTGCTTCAAGCACCTACTATAAGCATTGGTACTTTTCTCCTTGCTATTTAGAGGACGGACCCGTATCAAAACCTTAACAAGTTCAACTTTAGTGAGCAAGATATACAAAATTTAGGTAACAAAAACACTAATTTGGAAGCCCTAATTTGAAATCTTTCTCAATAATCATATGAAATCAGTGGCAAACTCCGGGAAAAGATAGAAAAGTGAGCTTACCTGTACATTGTGATCCATCCAAAATGATGGATCTTCTTTGAGATCAAAATGTGGCACTTCCACTGAATTAACAACAGTTGAGGAACTACAAGAAATTGGAATCCCTTTTGACAATGCAGCAAAGTTGCCCATGCGAGCACCTCCATTAGACAGAGGTCGAGAACCACCTGTTAGACAAAGTCCCGGATTCGGAGGCTTGGTTACACTCTTTGTTGGTGTACTCTGTGTCGAATTGCATTCCGAATAACCTGAATTAGCTCTCCCCATAACCCTATTCGACTGAGGAGTAGTCATGCCGGCAAAAACCCCATTCCCATTCACACGACTCGATTGGCTCATATAGTGGCTCATATCAGCCCTCCCATCATCGTGTGATTCAATTGCATTCGAGCTTGATTCGTTCTTCGGCACCCACCCAAATCGACTCTTCGCCTGAGCTCCTTGTTTCTCCGGCGTGGAAAGCGACATTGTGTTATCAGAGCTTTTGCGCTTGACCTTAGTGGGTGTTTTATCAACCTTAGTGCTCCTAACACCCACCTCTTTCTCTACCACAGCTTTAGAATTCGAGGCCGGTTCTTGAATTGCGTTCAACGGGGCCCTGTTCGAATCCGTTCCGGTCTGATTACCCAACGAATACCTAGGGTTTATGGGCACATTCTCGATTTCCTCTGCGTTTGAATTCTTACCCGAATTCCGGCGTAAGAATTTGAAGTCCCGCAACATTCTAAATACAAGCTAATTCCAATCAAGAACAAGAAATGGAAAGCCAATTTTGGAGAAATGAAATCTGGGAATGAAAAATTGGGAAGATGTGGGTATGGAGTACCTGAAAGAGAAAGTGAGAAAGAGAATCCCGAGTTGACGACCACCTGAAATTGCTTCGTTGAGTAAAGTCTCAGCTGGTTCTTTCTAAAGTTTGAATCTTGCTTCAAGAATGCATTCAAATCTCTGTCTCTCTCAAAAAAATTTGTGAAAGTAAAATTTTGGGAACAAGAAATGCTACAATGTGGATTTGGAGTACCTGAAATTTCTTTGTTGAGTAGAGTTTCAGCGAATTCTTTCTAGGGTTTGGATCTTGAATCAATAATATATGTATTCAACATAGTAATATACAGACACACTATATTACTCTGTATGTCTCTCTCTTGTTTTTCTCTCTCTAACTTCTTTCTAGATTCTTGAACTCTGACATCTCTGTGTCTCTCTCAAGCTTCGATCTTGATTCGTACTATAACTTTGAAAATTGTTTGCGAGTGGGGTTTTAGGAACAGAGATGAGGAATGGACGGCTGAGATCTCATCTAGATTTGAAATTTAATGGACACCGCGCTTTTGAGTTTTGAATCGCCTTGCGGTCTTCTCTTTTATTTATTTTTTCCAAAAGAAAAGTGAAAATTTTATTATGTCTTCAACGGCTAATTTCTTGCTCCTCCTACACTACTAGCCTCTCCTAGCTTGCTTTGTACTGTGGGCCCCACTGCATAACCTTCACTCGACGTGGTATAAAATTGATATGGGACACTCGAGTGAAATCATTGTCAGGTGGGGTCCGTTTTGTTTTATTTTCAAAATTGCTGTTTGAAATTATATCCTTATTTTTTTTTTTTTTTTGGGAAAAAAAAATTATATCCTTAATGAAAATATAGAACACGTTATAAAGATGTCACGAATGCTATGACAAAAAAATTAATTAATTAATTAATTAAATAATAGAAGGAAAGAAAAGAGAATATGAAGAATAATCTATACTTTCTCATTTACAAGTTTTTATTTGTCAATAAAAAAAAGAAAATAAGTCAATAGATGTTTTAAATTAGATACTATTCCAAATAATATAAATTTTAAATTATTATACTATCTTTTATAAATTACAATATTATATATATTATTAGATATAATAGTAAAAATAATTAAAACTTTATTCTTCTCTTATATACCGTAATAAATTATGAATTTTTTCTCTTCCTTTTATCTAATTGAAAATAAAAAAAAAATACATAATATATTTATTAAGATGTCTCATTCATCCTTTCTTCTTTTTCTTTTATTTAAACTTTTTTAATAATTTAATTTTTTTTAATCTTTTTTTTTAATAATATAAATTATTTCTTTTTTTTTAATAATATAAATTATTTCTTTTTTTTATCTTTTTTTTAATAATATAAATTTTAAATTATTATACTATCTTTTATAAATTACAATATTATATATATTATTAGATATAATAGTAAAAATAATTAAAACTTTATTCTTTTCTTATATAACGTAGTAAATTATGAATTTATTCTCTTCCTTTTATCTAATTAAAAAGAAAAAAAAAAGTACATAATATATTTCTTAAGATGTCTCATTCATCATTTCTTTTTTTATTTTTTTAAATTTTTTTTAATAATTTAATTTTTTTTTATCTTTTTTAAAAATTTAAACAATTACATACATCCACAATATTTTGAACGGTCAACAAAATCCCCTTCTATTAGCCTCTTTAATATTGAATGTTGATATAAATTAATCATATTCTTTCATTTTAATAATTATAATGCTATTTAAATGGACAACAAACCAATCAATATGATATAATTGATATTATTTCCGTTGGGTGGTACCCCACCAATGAGAATTCTAAGTAACATGAAGGAGGGATTTGACATAAATGCTTTTAGAATCATCAATTTATTTATTTATTTCTATAGATTGATAAGGTTTGATAACCCCAATTGCACAATAGAATTCCCTGTGTTGTTTTCAAATTATTAAATTTAACAATTTAGGGTATTCCGACCACTGATTTCTTTGACATATTCGGAGCATCTTTCTCCCTTCTTGTGAAGGTTTCGTTTTCAATGTTTTTTTTTTTTTTTAATCTCAATAATAAATACTCACAGAAATCCATAAGGCATATCAGTATATCACTAATTTTATGTTAAACTTTTAGTAATATATTATATCACTAATTTTATGTTAAACTTTTAATAATATGTTCGACCATATAGTAACCACAAACTAAAAAACCTCAACCACATAACTAAAGATTGTACAATTTTTTTTTTTTGGGATCGAAATACTCTCTTCGTCGTGGACGAATCAATACTCTCTTCGTCAGGGACGAATCAAAAATCGAAATTTTGAGTGGAAATATATATATCAGAATGAAAAAAATGGTGAAGCATACTAATAAATAAATCAGGGCCTCAGTCCAACATGGGTTCGTTCCTGTTCTTCCTCACTTGTTCTTGTACTCGGATCATCTTTCTCCCGACTTGTAATGGTCTTTTTTTCCATTTTTTTCTTTAAAACATGTTTATGCCCAAAAAAAACCTCCATGATTAAATCACATAAATCCACAATGCATGATTCACTAATTTTATGCTAAACTTTTAATAATTGTTTGCAAAATATATATACAAACACACGGAGAAATCATAAAATAAAAAGTATGCCATTTTTTTTCTTTCTAAGATTTGGATTTACTATTAAATCAACTGTGCAATATTCACAAACACATTCCCCTGGAAAATACAACACATATTTAATATCATAATTAAATCGAGAATTTAATAGATGTACATAATTGCTGTGTTGTCGATTAATATAATAGCAATAGCGATTTAAAATTCTTGCATTGTCTATTTAAAATTATTATTAAGTCATTGGTTTAATGCACATGACAAAAAAACAGAAATTTGGATGGAAAAAGTTAGGCTTGCTTCTGAGAACAATTTTCAAAATAATGTATAAAAATCTTACTTGTTTATCTTCATAGAACTTACTTTTATAATTCTTTAAAAATAATTTATTAAATTCTTAAAATTATTTTTTGAGTAACAAATCAACCAATCCCTTAATTTTTGTTTACCCTAATCTATTTCTAATTTTTATGCTAGTATATCTCAAGGATAAGATTGGTTCAAAATTTTATAATATAAGGTCGTTTTCACCGCACATTAATTGTCAGTGAATCTGAAATTGTGCTTCATATATTAAGAAGAGGAGATAAAGTACGCCCCATGGAGTCTTCCAAAAGCCATTTTTGAGCTACCGGTACTGTATACACACATATTACATACACGCACATATATATATGTATATACGCAGGGACTAGAAGATGAAAGCCATGAAATAAAGAGATTTGAAAGATATATAATGGTGATCAAGAAATTGGAAATGTGCATAGAGATATTGAAAGTGTTCTTAGAGTTCGTGGTCGTCTTCATTGAAGCTGTTGCTGTTGTTATCAATCAGAGATCATCAACTATCACTGTTCCTCTTCCCTATCTTGTTCTTCCTTAGTCATAATCTTTTTTTTTTTTTTTTTTTTTTTTCTAGATTTATGTGTATGTGCCTGTATCTAATATGAATTGTATGGATTTCATTGGATGAGCATTTAAATTCATGAATTTTGAGACCACCATTGTTTTGCAGTTGGTACATTTTATTTATTAAACATAAAATGATGTTGCTATGGCCAAAGTACTAATTTAATGTGATTTTAGTTTTATCTATGTCAGAGTATTGTCTGAGATGCTTGCAGTACTTCTGTTTTTTTTTTTTTTTCGGAGAAAATTTGAAGGCACCAATGGAGGAAGAACAAATTGGCTCCCAGAGCATGGTAGGAGTTGTTTTGTGTGTGTAGCAGGATAAGAACTTTAATTTACAAGGTATTTAAGGATTTAAATTAAAGAGGATAAGAGCAATTGTGATTGCATTTTTTCCTAAAATGGGCATAATTTTGAGATTGTGCAACAAAAATAAAAAAGAAAAAAGAAAGAGGGATGGACTAGCAATGGGTATTCTTGACTTGTCTAGAACAGTGTTACTGAAATGGTTTCTCTATTACTGAAATTATCATTGTCACCTTCGCAATCTGTGCATTTTTTGATCATGGTTAAATTTTGAATATTGAAATTAATTGCAATCACTCTATATTTTTGTCTATATTATGACTAGCCACTCATAAGTCATATCCAAGAAAGTGCACATGTCCACTGTTGATTATAAAGCCTTTCCATTTGAATTGTTATTGAGTGAATCCGGAATAAATCCGACAATGATTGTTGCTTCTTTTCTTAATTTTATATTTTGTTCTTTTGAAGCTTTATTGTAGTTAATAACAATAATCTAATATGAATAACTCGCTATTCACTCGATTTTGGGGGTTATAATTATTATGTAGGAGAGATGGCCGAGTGGTTCAAGGCGTAGCATTGGAACTGCTATGTAGGCTTTTGTTTACCGAGGGTTCGAATCCCTCTCTTTCCGTACCTTCACCCAATTTACCGATGTTACTGACCGCAATGCATCAAATAGCAATGTATACCATTATTCCAACAGTAAGGTCGTTCTTTGATATATATTCTCTATTCCTAATTGCGATGACACGGAAAAAATATTGCAGATTTTGACTCCGGAAATACGTCCAAATTCAATAACGAGACTTGAATGGAAAAACATTAATTTGTGTACAAAGACAGACACTTATATTTAAACACATTGGCCACGTAATAATGGAAAGAATTCACAAGTACCTTTTTAATTCACTCTTACACAACTTTTACAAATAACCATTCAAATGGTGAAAAGATCGCATAACTGTCTGTTGTTTAGAAGCTCATCTTGAAGAGTGACTTTGTACGTACGTATATTCTCGAGCTAAAATTAATGGTAAGCACAAATAAAAAAATGTTAATGGTGAACTATCTAGTATCCTTGGAACATTGGTGGAGGTGGGGAAGAGTATACAGCGCCCAAGGTTGGTGGGAGAATGAAGTCATCTGGTCCAGGCGGTGGTAAAATAACGGTCTGAGTAGGAGGAGGAGCTACAGATTGTGCGGGTGTTGGTGGGACAGGAGATAGTTTAGGAGGAGATGAAACTGGTGTAGAAATTGGTGGTAGAGGTGGTGGAAGCGATTGAACCGGTGGTAGGACAGGAGATGGTTTAGGAGGAGATGAAACTGGTGTAGAAGTTGGTGGTGGTGGTAGATGCGATTGAACCGGTGGTGGGACAAGAGATGGCTTAGGAGGACTTGAAACTGGTGTAGAAGTTGGAGTTGGGACTGGAGATGGCGTAATGGGTTTGGGAGGCATAGGAGTTGGTGTCAAAAATGGAGTTGGGGATGGAGATGGCTTATGAGGTTTCTGAGGTGGAGAATTTGGTGTTCCAGCAGGAGTCGGGATTGGGGATGGTTTAGGAGGAGATGAGACTGGTGTATGAGTCGGAGTAGGGACTGAAGATGGCGTAGGAGGTTTTTGAGGTGGAGAATTTGGTGTTTGAGCAGGGGTTGGGACTCGAGATGGTTTAGGTGGTGCTGAAGCTGGTGTATGAGTTGGAGTCGGGACTGGAGATGGCTTAGGAGGTTTTTGAGGTGGAGAAACGGGTGTTTGAGAAGGAGTCGGGACTGGAGATGGCTTAGGAGGTGCTAAAACTGGTGTATGAGTCGGAGCCTGGACTGGAGATGGCTTAGGAGGTTTCTGGGGAGGATTAACCGGTGTTCGAGTTGGAGCTGGGGCTGGGACAGGAGACTGTTGAGGAGATTTATGGGGAGAACTTGGTGTTTTAGTAGGAGTTAGGACTGGGGATGGTGTAGGAGGTTTTTGAGGTGGAGAACTTAGTTTTGGAGCGGGAGCTGGGGCTGGAGATCGTTTAGGAGGAGAAAAAACTGGTGTTAAAGTCGGAGCTGGGAATGGAGATAGCGTAAGAGGTTTCTGTGGAGGTTGAATTGGTGTTTGAGTTGGAGATGGGCCAGGAGATGCTTTGATAGGTTTAGGGGGAGTTGAAATGGGTGTTTGAGTTGGAGCTGGGCCTGGAGATGCTTTGCCAGGTTTAGGTGGAGCCGAAGCTGGTGTTCTAGTCGGAGCTGGGCCTGGAGATGCTTTGCCAGGTTTAGGAGGAGCCGAAACTAGTGTTTGAGTCGGAGCTGGGCCTGGAGATGTTTTGCCAGGTTTGGGGGGAGCTAAAACTGGTGTTCGAATCGGAGATGGGCCAGGAGATGCTTTAATAGGTTTAGGGGGAGATGAAACTGGTATTTGAGTTGGAGCTGGGCCTGGAGATGCTTTTCCAGGTTTAGGGGGAGATGAAACTGGTGTTTGAGTCGGAGCTGGGCCTGGAGATGATTTGCCAGGTTTAGGAGGAGCTGAAACTGGCGTTTGAGTTGGTGCTGGGCCTGGAGTTGCTTTCCCAGGTTTAGGAGGATCTGAAATTGGTGTTCGTGTCGGAGCAGGACCTGGAGATGCTTTGCCAGGTTTAGGAGGAGCTGAAACTGGTGTCAAAAACGGAGTTGGGACAGGAGATCGCTTTGGTGTGTGAATTGGTGGACTAGAAGTGGGAGGAGGAGTATAAGTCTTTGATGGTGTCGGAGGAGGTGATGTTTGGGATGAAGGAGTTGGTGGAATTGATGTTGGTGGTTTTGATGTGGGAGGTGGAGTATAACTCTTTGATGGTGTCGGAGGAGGTGATGGTTGGGATGATGGGGTTGACGGAGTTGATGTTGGTGGCTTTGATGTTGGAGGTGGATTGTAACCCGTTGATGGTGTTGGAGGAGGTGATGTGTGAGTGGAAGGAGTTGGCGGAGTTGATGTTGGTGGCTTGGATGTGGGAGGTGGAGAATAAGTGTTATATTCTTGAGGAGGTGATGCTTGTTTTGAAGGGCTTGGTGGAGTTGAAGTTGGTGGCTTAGAAATGGGAGGTGGAATATAAGTTGTTACTTCTTTTGGTGGAGGTGATACTTTGGATGAAGGGCTTGGTGGAGTTGCAGTGGGTGGCGGAGTATAACTTTTGGATAGGGTCGGAGGAGGTGAGGCTTCTGATGGTGGAGTTGATGATGGGGGCTTGGATGTGGGAGGTGGAGTATACGTTTTTTCTTCTTCCGGTGGAGGCAATACTTTGGATGAAGGGCTTGGTGGAGTTGAAGTTGGTGGTTTGGAAATGGGAGGTGGAGTATAAGTTTTTTCTTCTTCCGGTGGAGGCGATATTTTGGATGAAGGGCTTGGTGGAGTTGAAGATGGTGGCTTGGAAATGGGAGGTGGAGTATAAGTTTTTTCTTCTTTCGGTGGAGGCGATACTTTAGATGAAGGGCTTGGTGGAGTTGAAGTGGGCGGCGGAGTATAACTCTTAGATGGGGTCGGAGGAGGTGATGTTTGGGATGAAGGAGTTGGTGGAGTTGATGATGGTGGCTTGGATGTGGCAGGTGGAGTATAGCTTATTGATGGCGTCGGAGGAGGTGATGATTGGGATGAAGGGGTTGGTGGCTTTGATGTGGGAGGTGGAGTGTAAGTCGTTGATGGTGTCGGAGGAGGTGATGCTTCGGATGAAGGAGTTGGTGGAGTTGATGTTGGGGGCTTTGATGTGGGAGGTGGAATGTAATCCATTGATGGCGTTGGAGGTGGTGATGCTTGGGATGAAGGGGTCGGCGGAGTTGATGTTGGTGGCTTTGATGTGGGAGGTGGATTATAACTCGTTGACGGTGTCGGAGGGGGTGATGCTTGGGATGAAGGGGTTGGCGGAGTGGATGTTGGTGGCTTTGATGTGGGAGGTGGAGTATAACTCGTTGATGGTGTCGGAGGAGGTGATGCATAGGATGAAGGGGCTGGTGGAGTTGATGTTGGTGGCTTGGATGTGGGAGGTGGAGTTGATGTTGGTGGCTTGGATGTGGGAGGTGGAGTATAACTCTTTGATGGTGTTGGAGGAGGTGACGATTGGGATGAAGGGGTTGGTGGAGTTGAAGTTGGCGGTTTTGATGTGGGAGGTGGAGTATAACTCTTTGATGGAGTCGGAGGAGGTGATGCTTGGGATGTAGGTGTTGGTGGTGTTGATGTTGGTGGCTTAGATGTGGGAGGTGGAGTATAACTCTTTGATGGTGTCAGAGGAGGTGGATATGTTCCACACTTCCATTCACATTGATCAGGGATTTTGGATGTGAAATTATTGTTTGTCAAGAGCAAAACATCAATATTCTTTTCAAAGAGTTTTGCTGGAATTGGCCCTTCGAAATTATTGTTTCTAATGTCAAGGTTAGAAAGGTGATTCAACTCTAGAACAGCATTTGGAAATTTACCTACGAAACGGTTGTTATTGACATCAAGCTCTTCCAATTGTTGAAGTTTAGAGAAACTATCCGGGATGATTCCACAAAACCGATTAGTGTTTATGTGGAATGTGGTGAGATCAGTCAAGAGCGCGAGCTCAACCGGAAAGTACCCAGCTATGTCAGCATTGTTAAGATGGACACCAGAAACAACCTTCAATTTAGAATCATCGCGTGCCGGTGAACAGAGTATACCATTATAGGCGCACACATTCGCACCAACCCAATTTCCAGTCGTATTGAAAGGGTCAGAGTACATAGCTTTTTTCCATGCTTGAAGAGCAATATAAGCTCTCTTGAGCCTCGGGTTTTCAAAAGCTAAGCTAGGATCAAAGTTAAAGCCAGACTCATCTTTGTTCTGGGAAAGGTCCAGAAGTTGTCTATGCGCAATATAGGATGCCTCAACATCAGTTAAAGCCAAAGAAAATGATGAGAATGAAGAGAAGAAAAAAGTGAAAATAAGAAAGCAGCTTGAGACCTTCATGTTTAGATGGTTAGCAATATCTAACCACCACCTTGGATTGGCCCAAGGCTGCTTGTGATTTATGCATGGGAGTATTGGTGGAATTTATATGGACCTTGGCCTCTATTTTTAGCCCCTGAATATTTGGAAATTGGCTAAAATTTTGAAGGTTCTCATATTTGTACGGACTATGTCTGCTAAGATTTAGGTTGTTTTCCCTTAATTGGACACATATTTAGCAAAGCTAAAATTAGATTATGACCAAGTCTTCCTTTTAACAACTGGGCATTATAAAATACCAATTTTATTATTGTGCATAGTTTTTTGTAGTTCTTTTAGTAATTTAAATAAAATTTTCTGTTATAAATGTAAAGATAATTTTGCTTCAAGATTCTGTTTCATTTTTTTTTTTTTTTTCTTTTTCTTTTTTGAATAGCAAAGTAATTTATTGGATGGAATAACTGTACAAGAGAAGGCCCAACAGAAAGTTGGCCTAGATCAAACAAAACATGGCTAGTGAAGTCCAGCCCAACAAAATATACCCTATCCCACCCTTAAACCATCTCTAAGACACAGGAATGTTGCTAAGGTCAACCCCCAGAGCATCGTTCATCTGCATAGAGGAAGAAGGGGGATCACTGCGGGTGAAGGATTGAGGAAGATGCCACGCCTTCATTACTCGAAATGCCACAGATGTTGGTTCCCATCTGTAGGAGGGTCTTTTCTTAATATAAGTATATAATAAATAAATGGTGACATCTCTAAACACAATTGTGAATGATCCACAAAAATACGGAGAGTATAAAAAAAAAGAGTATTAAGGTGATCTTGATAGTGCACTTCTTATCTCCGCCAACATACTTACTAACCAGTCTATTTTCTCCTCCTTCTCTATCCTTTTCTAAATCCTTCACAGTTGTGTTTACATATATCACCATTTATTTATTATTCACTTATATTAAGAAAAGACCCTCCATAAGCCATATACAGAGGCTGTGAGACATTGCTTAGCTAAAAATATTTTATTTAATTTTTATATTATGGTGTTCATCTACCACATTGCATAAAATGTCAGATTTAGAGACAATTAATAATATATCGCACCTTATCTAATGACCAACACATGCATCATGCCAATATCTATATCTATAAATTTTCATGTGTTAAATATTTGTATTCTCCACTTATAAACATAGGTGGTCATTATAAATCAAAACAAGAAAAAGTACTATAATAATACGTAAATGTGGACTTGTGTATCTTAGGTGTAACTCCAAAATAATACGTAAATGTGGACTTGTGTATCTTAGATGTAACTCCAAGTCTCATCATCTCTGTTCTCATCTAATTACCACTATTACATAGTTTGTCTTTTGTGTGCCTAAATGCATATTACTGGTTATATATCACATTTTTTATTTGATACCATATTTTTCACACTTACAAACCCTGCTTAATCTATTGCTTGCAAGATGCAATGGATCATTTTAATACTCACAATTTGTCTTGACAACTGTGTATTTAAGTTAAAGTTTCCTATATTAAATGGAGGGGCCGGGAGTGTTGAAAATAAAATATCATTATAAAAGTTTTTCAAGCCTTGATTAAAGTGATTTATAGAAGTGATATCAATATAAATTGAAAGTTTTGGGTAATTTCATTGACAACCCTTCAGATTTGATTAAATATCATGTTGAAACATCTTTTAAAAATTATTACCACTAACATTTCAAATCATTTTTTCGTCATTAACACCTAACATTTTTACTGTCATTTTTTTAATGCCTTTTAATTTAAAATAGCATAATTATAAAAAGATGAAATTACCCCCATTAATTATCCAATACCCTCACCCTCACTCATACTTTCTCTTTATCTTCGGCCACTTCCCACCACCTCACCACCATCGCCGGTTGATATTTTGTTGTAGGTTTTGGAATTGGGGATTGTGGTTCACTCGATTATCATTGGAATTTCATTGGGTGCTTCTAAAAGTCCCAAAACAATAAAGCCTCTTGTAGCTGCCCTCCCCTTCCATCAATTTTTTGACGCCATGGGACTTGGTGGATGTATAGTACCCAATTTCATTACTATTTGAATAAAGATATTGTTGGTAGAGCTGTTATTACATATCTATTTTTATATTTGATCAGGCATAGGATTTGAGAGAGAGATGGTGAACAATCACCAAATAAATAAGAGTCTGTTTGGTTTGTAATTATAAAAATAATTTTTATTCTCAAAAAATTGTATAAAAATTTTTGGTTGGTTCAGTTTTCTAAAAACTCAATTATAAAAAAATATATTTTTAAAAAATATCTTTTATTGTTCTCTCAAAACTGTTCATACGCGAAGATTAGAAAAAAACAATTATAAAATAAAGAGATTTGAAACATATATAATGGTGATCGAGAAATTGGAAATGTGCATAGAGATATTGAAATTGGTCATAGAGTTTGTTGTTTGAAACTATCACTGTTCCTCTCCCCTATCTTGTTCTTCTTTAGTCATTATTTTTTATTATTTTTTTCTTCTTCTTCTTCTCTAGATTTATGGGTATGTGCCTGTATCTAATATGAATTGTGTGGATTTCATTGGATGAACATTTGAATTCATGAATTTTGAGACTACCAATGTTTCGCAGTTGGTACATTTTATTTCTTAAACATAAAATGATGTTGCTATGGCTAAAGTAATAATTTAATGTGATTTTACTTTTATTTATGTCAGAGTACCGTCTGAGATGCTTGTACCTTTTTTTTTTTTTTTTTTGAAAAAATTTGAAGGCACCAATGGAGAAAGAACACATTGGTTCGCATAACATAGTAGGTGTTGTTTTGTGTTTGTATACCAGGATAAGAACTTTAATTTACATGGTTTTTAAGGATTTAAATTAAAGAGGATAAGAGCAATTGTGGTTGCATTATTTCCTAAAATGGGCATAATTAATAATTGAGATTGTGCACCAAAACACAAAAAGACAAAAAAGAAGGTAAAAATGCAAAATACTCCCCTATATTATACCAATATTATATAATGTCTCCTGAATTATTTTTTGAAATAAGTTGATTCCTTTAATTATTAAAAGCAAACAAAATGCCTCTTTAAAGGTCTAACAGAAGTTAATTTCCGACCAACAAAGAGCACAATTATTAATTTATCCTTACCTATTAATTTATTATAATAATTCAAAATATGAATGACCACTTCGCCTCTTTCATTTTTTTTCTCTGCCTTTTTTTTCATCTCTCTGCTCTCTCTGTTTCACTTATTTCGCCAGCCACCATGGCCACCACCCCTCATCTCTCTTCTCCACTGATGTCGCTGCCCATCATCTCCATCACCCACTCTCTCTCTCTCTCTCTTCTCCACCTCATCCATGTCCGTATGTGTATATATACTCCGTATATATTTATATATAGGCGTGGACCATGACCAAATTTATCCCTTCGTCATTGAAATTTCTGTATGATGGGAGAGAATAAGGATCACTACTCTTGAAGTCCCTAACTACTAATTTTTCCCCTTGCACAACAATCACTTTTAACAGCCCCAAAGGTTCTCCCATAGTCCACTCCTACAAAGGCATCAACTTCAGAAATAAGGCAATAACTACAACCTGTAAAGCCAATACAATTTTGAAAAAAAACACAGAACTATGAGAACAATCTCAAACTTCTCAACCAAAGCAAGCTATACAGAAACAGAATAATTATCATTTATCATCATCATAGACATGCTTATTTGCTCCCCAAACATACGCTGATCCCAACTGAAGACCCCAATGAACAAGTCAGCACTTTGAAAGGAAAACTTAACAATATAAAAGAACAAAAAATATATATATATCTGGACCAGGTTCAATGTATAAACTGTCTGTTGAAGAACAATAAAGAATAAGTTCTCAGTTAAAAACCAGATTTCGAGAGAGAGAGAGAGGGTCATGTATGGAAAAATCAATGGTTAAAAAAAATCAAATAACTGAAGCTGTCAAGATTAACTTTCTTTGATTCAATTATTCATTCTCAGCTAAAATACACACCAGAGATACAGAAGTAAACGAAGTAAAATGTATGAAACCCTATATCACAGATAGGGAGAAAGAGACCACCTTCAACTTGAATGTAGAAATTAAAAGCAAAAAACCGTCGATATAGTTATATATAATTTATAAACACAAATGTAGCGACAATATGGTAAGTTCCAGACAAAATCAAAGCAAGGAATCAAAACACGAAGACCAAAAAATCATCAATTAACTCAAACTTCTGGTTGAACTGAAGCTCACTGGGTTTGACGGCGAAGTACTTCTGGTTGCCACGGAACCCACACCTCCATCACGGTGGCCGGTTCGGTCGTCACCGACGAGGGCCTCTTCGGGTATGCTCCCTCCTCTGGGCATTGATTGCGGCGCTATGTAAACATTGGTAGTCAGGGACTTCAAGAGCAGTGATCCTTATTCTCTCCCATCACACAGAAATTTCAATGATGAAGGGATAAATTTGGTCATGGTCCGCGCCTATATATAAATATATGGGATTATTACATATAAATGGGGTTAGGGCTCCATATTTACTAAGAGGCTGAGTCAAAGTCTCATATTTCTCTAAAATGAGTTGGACCCAAGAGCTGAGATGGCACATAAAAAAATACTGTTTCATATTTCTGTTGCCTAAAATACCCTTCTTCCTATTTTATGTGTTGCCTAAAATACCCTTTCCTACAATGACCTAATTGCAAGCCCTAATATCATAACCATTCGTTCAGTGCAGCAGCCCTCTCTCTCCGCCTCTCTGTAAAACAGCGCCCTAGCCATATGACGACTTTTGTGTGACGAAGAAGACGATGAACAGCGAGCAGCGATCAGAGGGGAGTGACGAAGGCCAACAACCAGTCACTGTTGTTCAGTTCTACCAGCGAGTGAGCAAGGACGAAGGTACCTTGTTATAATCGCCTGTTTCTGTGATTTTAATCGTTATGATTTCTGTTTCTGTCCAGTGAATTCCCCTCTTCTCTTCACC